CCGCCTCTCACCTTGATCTTGCTCAACTTCTTCTGGATCTTACTGGACACCTGCTCAGCCCAGTATCGCTCCCGGAGGAAGTCCCAGAAGATGCGCCCCACCAGCGCGTTCATCCAGGCCATGCACCCCTCGCTGCTCCTGGCCGTGTCCTCGCCGAGCTGCGGGGGGCCAGAAGCCACGAGCCCCTGGAGCGAGGTGGCCCCACCAGCGGTGGGACCTGCTGGCTGGGTGCTCCCCTGCACCACGGCGTGGCTGCTCAAACCGCGGCACCGAGAGGGAGGGGAGGAACCACAGGACGAGAAGAGGCAGCAGGGTCCATCAGCCTCTGCTTAGCGCTCACGTCCCGCTCCCAGTGCTGGATTTGTCCCACTCACCTTTGTGTGCGTGGGGCTGCCCAGTGCTCCGTGCGAGGGGCTCCGCTCCGGGGTGCCCCCCACCTGTACTGGCACGAATCGGGCCATGTAGGTGCTGTAATCCAGGAAAATCTTCTGTCGGACGCTTCCCGTCAGGTCCTTGGGTGGGACAGCGGAGGGGATGTCCTCGGCGCTCCCTCCGCTGCTGCTGCCGCTGCTCCGCGGAGCCGGTCCCACGCCTGCGGGCATGGGGACATGAGCGGGTCAGGGTGGCGTGAGAGGTGACGTGCTGCCCGTCCGTGATGCCAGTGACGTGCCACCCAGCCTATGCTGGCGAGGGGGCTCCTCCAGGCTCTCCCTGCTGCTGCAAATGCTCTTGGCCATGCTCTGGTCTCCTTCCTGTCCCCCCACGCTCACTGCTGCCTACCATGGCCTTGTCCTCCTGGCACACGTGCAGCTCCCGCCCCGGATCAGTGCCGGCACAGAGCAGAGGACAGAGTAGAACAGAATCATTAAGGTTGGAAAGGATCATCTAAGATCATCAGCCCAACCATCAACCCAACACCACCATGCCCACTAAACCATGTCCCAAAGTGCCACCTCTGCCCGTTTTTTGAACACCTCCAGGGGTGGGGACTCCCCCACCTCTCTGGGCAGCCTGTTCCAGTGCTTGACCACCCTTTCCGTAATGAAATTTTCCTAATATCCAATCTAAACCTCCCTGACACAACTCGAGGCCATTTCCTCTTGTCCTATTGCTTGTTCCTTGGGAGAAGAGACCAACACCCACCTCACTACTTCACTACCATGAAGGCCACGATGGCTGCTCCTCACCTGCCCTGGCTTCACCGCGGCTGCTGCTGGGTGTCCCACGGGAGGCTCGCACGAGGTGCTGGTACCACTCCTCCTTCTCCCTCCCTGTCCGCCCAAAAAGGTACAGGCACCTCTCCCTGCAGTCCCCCGGGACATCGTGCCCCGGCACTGGCGCCTTCTTTGTCCCTTCGTCCCTCTGCAGCTCCGTGTCGTGCTCCTCGCCGCTCCTGCACTCCACCTCCACTGGGTCGGGGAGGAGGACGCAGATGGGGTATTTTTGGTTCCACGTCCGCTTTCGGGCCAAGCTGGGGGGGCAGAGGAAGACCTGCAACAGCGAGAGCAGCGGTGAGGCCGGGCCAAGGCGTGGGGTGCCGGGGGTCCCCGCGGGAGGGTCCTTGGCACCACCGGGCTCACCTTGGCGTTGGTCAGGTCATAGCAGCGGTGGCTGACGAAGGTGGCATCGAGGATTTCCTCCTCGAAGGTGGCTCGGCGCGGGATGTTGCTCTTGGGGTAGGAGAGCTTGAGGGTGGCCCCATCCAGCGTGGCGAGCACCGAGTGCGTGAGCGAGGGGTGGAAAAGCTCGGGGTCGTAGACGTGCAGCTGGTTCATCCAGCCCTGGGCGGGAGGAGAGGGAGCCGGCTGCTTCGCCCTGTGCC